TTTTAGATGATGAAGCTGGAACAACAGGATGATTTATGATTACTAACCATTTATTGTCATGCTACTAATTTTTATTTTTATTTTCCAATAAATATTTTTCAAACATGTTTTGTATAATACTGCAGAGTTTTAGGAAAACGATCTTAGATCTTTTTATCAATCGTTATTGTATATTAATAATTTTGTTTAGCGCCTGAAATGATTTTGAAGAGTAACTTCAAGGTTTTATGTTTGCAAATGGAAATCTAAATTCATTGCAAGTAGTATTCGAAATATAAAAGTTTGTTCTGGCTTTTGCCGAACTATCATATAACTATACGGCAAGTTTCTACTTTGTCGTATGTCGTCTTTGGTTCGAGGTCTTCTTCCAATTCCGGGTAGTTCTGTTATGGTTCGGAATATTGGCTCTGATCTATTGAGTCGTAGAGACATTTCGATTAAATTATTGTCGTATAACATTTTTGTAAATGTTTTTGTCTAATTTCTAATCTATTTTGGTTAATTCTAATCTATTAAGGTCTTGTTCGAGACTTATGGTCGCACCAGATGAGTTATGACCGAAGTGTAACTCATAGAGTAATTTCGGATAGGGTACACCGTCTGCTCGTCACGCTATCTTATTTTCGGCCGGATAGATTCGTGCAACTTCTTAGTCTAATACCGATCCTAATCTTACTCTTATACTATCTAGTCTCAGGTTGTTTAACTAGTCTCTGCTAGGCTCAATAGATCTAGGGTATACTGGTTTATTGCGGCTGCTGAAGTGCTCGGGAGAGTCCAACTAATTTCTAAGTTAAATTCAAATCTCTCTGGTGCTGAAATTACAAGTAACTTCAGCACTTACAAATAAGTGGGTTGTTAGTTAGATGGATCATGATTGGTTAATATTAAATACTTTACATTGGTAAAACATTTAATTTATCCAATCATAAAATGTAGTTTAGATCAGGTTCCATGATTTAAGAAAAGGACAATTGAATTAGGTCAAAAAATTCATAGCGAATTAGACAAAATTATTTTAGAGAAATAGCTAAAACAATGTTTAAATTTTAAGCATAGCTAGCTCATCTTGTTGGACGAGCAAAGAGTCTATTAGTTGTAAAATTTGCGAAATGTTTAGAGTTTTTGTCAGTTATTTCTTTTATTTAGTTGAAGAGTAACAATTATACTTTTTTGCTCAAGTAAAAAGACGTGTTTTATATTATGGGACATGCTTTGGGTGATTTTTTTGCTCAATAAGTTCTAATGGTTCATTAGTTATGAGTAGAAAACACAGCACAAAAAAACCAGGAAATGTGTAGAGAACGAAGTGTAAATTTAAGAAGTTTGACTAATATGAAGATCATTGGATCCAAAAATGCGGCAGAAATTCGCTCTTCGGTATGAGAGAAATCTGAAAAAAATGCGCTGTTCTCATGGTGCTCTCCCAGACGATGCAGATTTGATTTTAGAAATTGATATAATAGTTTCAACGAGATGCTGTTCTAATTGGTGGAATAGTACGATTATATTTTTAAAAAATAGATAAATCGGAATCACGAGTAAAACGACTCTTATAGGATACCTGATTTGAGTTGGTTTCTTTGTGGTGATTACTATCTGAATAAAAACGCATCGTGCTTCATTTCTTTCTTTTCTCCATGAAGTTATCGGAACAACCAGAAACTAGATAATTGTTCTCTTTCCGCCTATCACTATAAAATTAATTGATAGCAAAATTTCTGCTGAATAAGAGAGATGAGTTTGCAATCCATGAGTTTGCAAAGCGTTCAACTCCCTTGAAAAAAAGAAGTTTGTTAGAGAGAAGAATGGGAAAAATGCAGCAGTTATATTGTCTATTTTTAAGTAAGTGAACTTCATCGATATTCAGATCCCACCAAAAAAATCATCTGGCTATTGGGTCAAAAAAATGTTACACAAAATAATCATTACGAGGCCCACTGTGCAGATACGAGGCCCAAGAATCCAGATACAAGTCTTTAAATTGTTCTAAAATGTAGGTAGATTCCACTAACAAGTATTTTGCGAAATCCGCGCTTAAACAGGTGTAAGGTCATTTGTTACAGCTCATTAGTTTTGTCGCGGATCCTGCCACGAGTGGATAAAACTAGTTGTTCCGGTTTCCGCAAATGTTAGTGGATTCCATAAATTGTTATTGGTTTTCACAATCGAAAGCTGATTCTGCAGATTCCGCTTACATTTTGCTTATTCAGCCTATAATTTGCAGATTTCGCGTCAAATCTGCGGATTCCGCGAAAGCCTAATTCGCCTGTTTTTGGAGCAAACTTTAGCGAAACAGTGTACTAGCTATTTGATCGTAGAAACCAAAAAAGCAAAGAAGATCAAAGAAAAACCAGCAATGTTGCAAATTCATCAACAAGTCTGGTTTCGGCTTTTTGCTGAAACCACTTTTATTTCATAAAAAAGCACAGTTTGACTTCGTAATGATGTAATCATTGTGCGGAACAGTCTTCTCAGCTTATCAGAGCTTGTTGAGCAATAAATTAGCACTTCGATGCAAGTATCGATTCAAATGTGTTGATCCTAAATAAGAACAATTATTGCAGTCATCATCTCAGTAAAACCATTAAGAAATATAAGAATGTACGTTTGAAAAACTAAACCTGTTAATGATTATTCGGAAAAATTGAGAACATAATTAAAATATAATTTTCTAACCTGGACCCTACTTAATTATATGACCGTAGATTTTATGTTATTCAGTTTGCCGAAATTAACATCAAAAAGTAAGACTCATATTTGCGTTCATGGGTCAAACTAATGTGCTTATTTACGTTATCAGAACAAAACGAAAAAAATCTGAAACATTAAATTTTTATATGGAAAAAGACAGAGACAAAAATTGCTTTAGAATTTTACAATATATCAAAGTTACATTTCAAAATTTATTTTCTGAAAATCAAACTCAAAACGCATCCCAAAACATGGTCCAATTTTTTTTGATAAAAACTATGCAAAAACAGTTGCATCTTTAATGAATTTTTAAATAAAGTACGTAAAACCAGAACATTTAAGAAGAAAAAACTGGAAACATTTGTGCATATTTCCATTTCACAGTTTGGCACCCGCATAAGACTGTTTTAACTTATGATTGCACATTTTTAGTTTTCATCATTTTCAGGCTGGTACAATTCTATAGAATATAGAATCTTGGACTTTCAATTTTTTGTAAGGTCAACCCAGTTCAAGAAAAACACGTTCAAGCTTTCAGTTTTTTTTTTGTCCGGAGAAATTAAATCAGATTAAATTGATACACTGCCAAAAAATATGACAAATTTTCTACAATGAGACAAAATCTCTAAAATTTGCTACTCAAATGCTACATGTCGGCAGGGAAACTAAAATTTTCAATCGGCTCTTTTCCAGTTTTCGTCCCTCCTAGAGCTTCGCTGGAAACTTTTCTTTTTTAAGTTTCACCTAAAATCAATTTTGATTAAAAAACAATCATTATAGTGTGGACAACTGATAAAATTGTGACCATTTTTTTTTAAAACTTAACTGACAGCATAACGATCGATTTTGTAGTCAACTTTTTTTGTAAGCTTACAAGAGGGGTAGGAAGCTAGAAAAGAGCCACTAAGCCAATACCACTTTCATTACTCTATTCGTACTCCGGGTTGGCATGTCATAGACAACCATCGCTGGATCAGTGATTTCTTAGAATTTTGTCCCTGATCAGTGGCCACTTATCCGTGATCACGAATGATTCAGCTCTGGGTCAGAGCTGAAATTTTATAATTGCAACAGCGCTATTTTAGCGCTAATTCAGGGCTGACAGAACCATGAAATCCCTCAGTGTTCGCTGAGATACCTGCCCGGGTTGACAAAAAAAAGCTTGTCATACTAATTCATATTATGAAAGAAATGCTTGTCATACTATTTCATAGACCAAAAAAATACTATGAAAATAGCATAATAAGTATTTTTTCCATACTAGGAAATTGTATGATAAGCATTTTTTTAAAATGAAAATACCAAAAATATTTGTTTTGAAAGTATGTGTTTCATCCAAAATACTAGCCCTGGACTTTTTGTCAGAAGAAAACCCAGAGTGTAACTGGCAGTTACCACGCAGATAAACTGCATTTGGTGATTTTTGCCACCTACGTTAATTTTTACATTTTCACATGTTTTGGTAGTTGAGAAAAAAAAGGCCTGTTTTTTTACAAATTTATTTTTATCTCAGCAAATGAAATAAAAAAATCATAATCGTGTTTACAAAAAAAACACTTTTTTGTGATTTTTGGATTTTTTTGGGAGAAAAACTCATCCTGTTATAAATTATGTTATAAACACAAAAAGTCAAATTTTGCATGCAAATTTTTTTTGTCGCAAAAAAATATATTTGAGCTCAAGAGCAAGTTTGCAACCAAAACGGGATTAAAAGTTTTTTCCTCAAATTTGTGTTTTTGCTTAGGAAAAAAAGCATAACATACAATTTTCATATATAAAAATTATCTGATAAGCATTTTTTTGACCAAAATTAAAATCATGTTTTTGAGAGTCAAAAAGCATTCCTTCAATAATTTTTTTTTAAAACTCATGCAAATTCATCCAGAAACATCATTAAATTAATTTTGAAGATTTTATTTTTTCTTTAGCAAAATGCTTCTCATACAATTTTCATATATGAAAAAATATTATGATAAGCCTTTTTCTGATTTTTCTGACCAAAATTAAAATCATGTTTTTATTGAGCAGAAAGATTCAAAAGATAGAAAAAAAAAACAGAAGTATTTCTCTAAAAACTTTTAATACAGGTTTTAAATTTTGAATGAAAATTGTATGATAAGCATTTTTTCCATAGTCGCCATATATGAAATTGTATGACAAGCATTTTCCTTTTATTGACCTCAACCCGGGTGAAACTGTGCAGAAAAAACTCCGGCTAAACAGTTCTGCTCTGCTCGAATTCAGTTAACTTTATACTTAGTTCAGTTGTTGAAAGCGGTCTATGAAAAATTCCAAATATTCTGCAATTACTTCTTTCAAATTAAGTATATCAAATTAATAAGCAAACAGGAGTAAAATACAGCAAATATTAAGACTAGGATCGGATTATTAGGTTGTGATCTTCTAGAAAACCATCGAGTGTCTTCATGAAAGCAGTGTTGTGGCTTTCCAGAAGTGAGACGCCTGGACACTTTTTCCAGTACCTCAGTGTCACTTTAACTCCTTGGAATCTCCAGTTACTTATCATAGATTTGATCCCATCCACATCGCAGTTATCTTTCCCAGTGGCAAAAATCAAAACCGGAACTCGCATTTGGGGAATTATGGTACTGAATGATGTCATAGCTGTTGTAGAATGCTCAATGAAGCTTTGAGAATGCTGTCGATACAGTTGTCCCGGTGTGGAGGCATGACTGCCATAATGACTGTCATAATTGCTTCCGTAGTTAGATCCATAGTTACTCCCGTAATGGCTCTGACTTGCTTGATTTTGACCATAGATGTTCCCGTTTGGAGTGTGAGAACTCTGCATGCTATAGCGACTGTTAACAGTATTGTAGTAATAGTTCGAACTGTAAAGACCGTGTCCGATGCTGCTGTCTGGACCTAAAGCGGGTCCATATTCACTTCGGTCCAGAATTCTTTCGGCCGAGTTGCGACCAGAGTATAAATTTAGCGAGGGCTGGCTCGGGTTTGGAGCAGTGGGAACCCACGACCCGATTGAATGGGATTTGTTCACGGCGTTATGGGAAAAACCTCCATTTAAAGGACCGTTCGCAATTGTTCTTCGCTGTTTTATTGCACCGTTTTGCTGATAGCTGTAAGGGTTATAACTTTGAGGCTGCATCGATTTATGATACGTCACACTCGGCTGAATATCGTCTATTCCGACTGATTTTTGGCTTCGTGAGTTATTCGCTGTGTTGGCTGCTGTTAAAGCTCTATTTGATAATTCGGTCGGACTGCTGCCATATGTTTGATTGTGCGTTGAGTAGTAGTTGCTTCTCATACTGTAATGATTAGACGAATTCTGATTGACCGAATAATGGTTTAGAGAACCGTGATTGTTTGCAGAATATGGGTTGTTCGTGTGATAACTGACCGAATAGTGATTGGTCGGCTGGTTGCCCGAATAGTGACTTAGAGGTTGATAATTCGTAGCATATGGGTTCGACGACACATGATAACTTTTTGATTGAGATACATTAGCTGAGCGCACGTTCGGCCTCCTTTGTAGGCTTTCGGAAGGATAACTAGGTGGATTGTTATGATGACCATTCGGTTGGTTGGGCATATTGGTATTGTAGGCTAATTGCTTGGGTAGTGCATTTGTGTAGTTCTCGAAGTATGGGTTCTCGTCTGCGGATTTCCTGGAACTGACTCCGTAATTGCCTTCTGCACTGGGTTCGAAATCGTCTTCTTCGTCTTCAGGGTACATGAGGGCTTCTTTTAAGTCCATGCTCAGCTCTAAAACAAGTTTAAAATCAAAACGTAACCTTTCCTAATGCTCATTTTAGGCTAAAAACCTTGAAAACCGTGATAAATTTTTAAGAGCACTACCCGCACACACACACACACACACACACACACACACACACACACACACATACACACACACGCACCGTTTATCAGCATGCTAATTGTCCCGATTGAAAGTTTAAAAAAAAACATGTTTTGTGAGATATGAAAGTTTAAATTTGCGAAGAGAGTCGAAGTTCAAGTTTGGTCGAAAAAAAAATATTTTGCTTACTTCTTGGTTACCAACATTTCTCATCTAATTACGCTTGCTCATAGGCGTTTTTTGAGATGAACACTCGATGAGCTGAAATGCTCCATGGAAACTCCTCCGTAAGTTTTCTATTTTTGGTACGTACATTTTTCAACTTCAATATTGTAAACAATTGAAGTATTGAATTTACCATGTTCCTGTCGGAATGAGAGTCTCTTCATCATGGAGTTGGAGTGTTTGACCAGTCCGTCCAGAGGGAGGTTGATCCAGTCACAGGCCAGCCTCTCCACTATGATGCCGGAAATGTTCACCAGCAAGTTCCTCGACAGCAGGTCACACATTATAAAAGTACCACCTGAAACAAATGTAAGTTTTAGCACAGGTTCAAGTGTCTAATTTATAGGCCGCAGTATTTCACGGCACTGACGGTTAAAAACAAGACACTTACCGGCCTCTAAAATTGTCTGGTGAAATGATAAAATCAATAAATTGCGGCATTCGCAGAGGTTATTTTGAGGGTGGGGGTTGGGAAGTTTTGTGAAAGTTATTTGATTAATTTAAAAAAGGGATATTGAAAAATGAATAAAATGGATTGACCTTTTCAATTTGCGATTTGTTGTTGTCATATTTTATTTGATAAAAAAGCGTTAGACCGCCAATAATTACTAATTTTCAATGGGGCGCGGAAAAACCCGATTTTTTGGTCAAAATTTTTCAAAGTGCCTAAAAATGCCTTTTTTGGCTTGTTTTTTCAAAATTTTGCAGCGACGCAGAAAATTTGACCAAAACAGGGTCTTTTTGATGCTTTGGGAGAGCTCGGAAAATCAATTTGATCGACCTATAGAAAGGTCGACAAAATTTCCGAAATCTTTTTGAAAAGCCGCCCCTGCCCCCTTCGAGAAAATCCTAGATCCGCCCCTGATTTGCGGCTTAACTGTTTTGTCTCGAAAGGTATAATTCATAAAAAATCTAGTTTTTGAACAAAAAGTTTATTTTGTCTAAAATTTGCCGGTCACATAACTAACATGATAGCATGAACAGGGTTTTCTCTGAAAAATTATGCCAAGAGTTTTCATACCTTGTATGGAATGACAAATGACTGCACTGTAGGAGGGACAGTACTTCCTCAGCAGAGCACCCAGTTCGGTGGACATCTCTCTCATGCGGGGCATATTCAACAGGTCTTGTATACCATACCTCACTATCATCACATCTGTCGTGTAGCTCAGATACAACATGCAGTAGTCCATCAGAACGTCGTCTTGAGGGCTCAGCCAGGGGATTATGACAACTGAAAGGTTCAAGGTCACGTTGATGGAATGACAATTTTCAAGGTTGCAAAAATCTGCCACGCAACACCTAAGTTACAAGAATTTAGACACAACATTCCACTTTTAGGGTCCCTTTTTAGTCCTAATTTAGGGCATCTATTTTCAGCAAACTGATTCCAGAAAGATATATTTGAGCGGGAAGCTTGGACCGCAAAAACGCGATTTTTTGCTAAGAACAATACCCAAAAAGATCTAAGTTTTTATACAAGGGCGGAACCAGCCCCTGTTGTTATACCACAAAGTTCTGAAATCTCATTTTGGACAAAAGCATGGAGATTAAAATTGGTCAACCTGCAAAAACCAACCCCTCGAGAAGATTTTACAGAGGTGCCTGATTAAATGGAGAAAACGATTACGCTCTTTTTCATACAAAAAGGTTTGAATGATGATTAGAGACCTAGATTCTTAGTGACATCCGGGAGGTATGTGGCCTCGTCAGTGATGTCTTCACCACCTGTCTCTGGAGTGAAAAAAAGCACGTCCAGGAACTGGCTGAGAGTGTTCTGGCTCAGGATGTACTTTGGTTTGGGTTTGGGAACAGGTTTCTGTTTCTTCCTTGAGATGGCGTTGTTCTAAAAAAGGAAACAAAAAGTTTTAGTAAGCCCTTTGTCGATTGATTTTAGTTATTTAGTTGGTTATGATACTTAAATTTTTTATATTTTCCGTTACACGTAAAAAACTAGTAAAAACAAAATGAATCATAAGATGGAGAAATCAAAATGTCAGTCAATGGTCTGAAACTTTGGTTTCTTCGTCTTATATTTCAACTTACTAAAAACAATCAGGCGTTTGTAGAAGTAAATGTTACCGCTGGTCATCGTAAATGACAGCTATTTTGATTTTTGTCGATTTTTTGTTCTACCTGAAACGTGTTTATTGTTCAACCTCAATTTTTCCTGCTCTGAAATCTGAATAAGAAACCACGAAAATTGAAACCCAAACTGCATAATTTAAACAAACTAGCATAGAATACCACGATGAAATTTAATATCAGCTGAGCCATTTCGAGACTTGCAAATCTATTCAAAAACTACAGTTCAGTGAAAATAATTTCATCTTGTGTTACCTCATTTTCATGCAATGGCGGCTGGTTGCTGGAGGCCCAACTGGATCGTCCCTTGCTGTCCTTAGGAGCCGGTTTGTTGCCCTTGTAATTGGGACCACCAAAACAACCACACAGTGCCGACATAGCACTTTGACAGAAATAAAATTGACACTTTCGTAGCGCGCTGCCCGGTTTCCTCGGAGTTCTTGTAACGCTATCAACAATGACTCGACCCGTTACTCATTTCTTGATCAACATTAGCAATAACTCTTAAGCCGATGGGCGCCGAATAAATGAAAAAGATGTAAAATCTAATTAACTTGACTTCAAATATTATTTTTTAAACTATAAAGTTTTGTTGATTTGAGTGATAATTGAAAAACAATTAAAAAAACGTCTCAATACAGTGAACTGAAGGGACTCACTGACGCGCTAACTTTCAAATAGTCGCTGAAATTGAAAAGGTAGCGGAAGCAAATAATTTTATTGCATCTACACCGCATCAAAATAACAGTAGTTCTTTGTAAGCTGAATGGTATATAGTAATACTGAGAGTTCTGTAAAATGGTACGAACAGCGGTGAACAATTGGAAAAATCAGCAGGCCAATTTCGGGAGAAATTTTCTGCAAGACGGTATAGGGATGAAAAGAAAATATTCGGGAGAGCTATCAGTTGTAATCATTGGGTCTTCAAAGAAAGGTAAGAGAAAAGAAGTTAAATAAGACAAAAAGCTACCATTGGCGTCTGGGATATATTGTCTGGAGCAAATTGAAACATTAATTTTTCATGTTTTTTTTTGTTTCTGATGAATAATTTTGGCCTTTCAGTCACAGAATTATTGCTGACTATCTCTGCAATATGAGTTTTCTCTTTGAAGATTAAAAATTAGTCTGCACCTGTTAATGGAAAATCAAATGGTAAGTTACATTTTTATTCTATTTATTAAAATGTCTTAATTAACATTTTATTATTTTTAGTTACATTGGACGATGGTTTGTGACAACTTGAAACCAATTGCTGGTCGGTGCAACGTCGAAGCAGATAAATTGAATTTAAACGCTTTATAATTATAGACAAAGTGTCATAAAATAGTTGCGTCTAATAAACTGAAAATATGCGTATAAACATTTTTTCGTTACCAAATTGACCGTCGATTATAGCTTTCAAATGTAAAACAATGGCTGTTTTAATCACTGAAAATGGAACTAGACCACTGATAGACTGACTAACTTTTCAAAAATTGTTAAGAATGTCTTTTTACTGTCTTTTTATCACATTTTATTGTAAGATATTTTTAGCCGATATGATCTTAGGTGGCTCATAAAATTAGAAATCTTCAGTTTAAAGTCATTTTATTGTTATGTATTTACGACGGTGCAGTTTTTTGCTTGTTTTTTCAAAGAGCGAATTGACAGCAACAAAATTAACAAGCTTGTAAAGTCAATTTTACCGCAACCCGAAAATCGACTTTCATCATGTTTTTATCACTAATTTGAATGCATTTGCTTTAAATTACTCAAAATTTTTTAAATTTGCTGTAAAAAAACGTGTCATTTAAAATGTTCAAAAGCGTAACAGAACAACGCTAGTATAGATGCATTTGAGACGGTAATGAAGTCTTAGAAGACGTTGAAAACTCACTTTTTATACAATCAACAGTTTGGTTCACCAATGTTTTTTCAATTTACCATTTGTGAGTGTGGCTCGAACAAATGTAAGATAAAGGCTGTTTTAGTTCAATCGTGCGTAGATAATTGTGAACATTTTAAAATGTATTCAAACTAAACGTGTGTAAATGCTGAAAACATATTTACCTAAGTTGTATAAAAATGTTGGTAAATTACATGTTAATGATACTGCAAAACTGACTGGAGGCGAATTAAAAACCAATTAGTTGTTCGGCCTAGTTTCAATAGCAATCAACCACAGGTGATTTACAATGCGGTGAGTCTGGTTGATGCCTGTTAACAATGGATTTTACACGTGTTAAGGTGGCGTTTCTTTGTTTGATTCAAAAGTGACAAGCAGATGGTTTGTTTATAAAATCAAACTCATGTCTGTTAAAACAGCGACTAAACTAAAGGTAGACCTTAAGATGCTGGTTTATAATTACTACAAAAGAGGTTAAGGCCCGCGATAAAATGGGAGCATCGCGACACCAGCAGCCTATTCCGAAAGTATCGCGAACGTCGTGACCCAAGAGAACTATTCCGCAAATTTGCGCGACCATACAATAATAAGATGCTCTTACTTCCATAACCCATACGAGAATGTTGCGACTTTGCGTTACCGAAAAAACGGCACAACCTTGCGTGATCAATAATAGCGGTGCTTTTTTGTGCAATCCTACAGAGATTTGTTTCAAATATGCTAGACACAGAATAAGCGTCGCGCGAACAAAAAACTTGTGAGATCAGAATCATCAAAGCATTACCAGAGAACTTGCTGGTCTATCTCTAGCTATTTTCTTGTTAAGTATGAACATCTGCTGGATTTTTTCCCAGTAATTGTTGTTCCGACTTTCGATACGAAATTAACGGAATATTTGTGCTCGGGGTGGGTTTTTTTGTTCAGACAAATTTCGACTTTTTAACTAGCCATTTTTGACGGAATTTTTTTATATCATTCGAAAGGTATTGTTGTCCTGAGCTCAAATTTGAAAAGATATTTCACCTGTGATCATTTTTCGTAAAGTTACGGGGGTTTAAAGATTGCAATTTTGGCCAATTTGGGACAATTAACCCGGGTTGACCTCCATACACCGAAAATGCTTATCATACAATTCCATACATCAAGTGTGTGGGAAAATGCTTGTCATACAATTTTCATACAATTTCTAAAAATGGTTGAAAACTGGTATAAACTCTTTTCTGTGGCTGTTTGATTCTAATAAAACAATCTGGTGATAAAAAACTGAGGTTTTCGTTTTTTGAAAAAAATGCTTATCATACAATTCCCATATATGGAAATTGTATGACTGGCATTTTTTTGATGGCGACACAAAAAAATTTTCAAGCAATTTTGAAAATTTGGCCCAAAAATTTTTTGTTTTTTTTCAACTGCAAATCGATTTTCGTACGCAAACAAACATTTTTCGAAAAAAAAATTTTGCATGCAAAATTTAATATTTTGTGTGCATAACGTAGTCCTGGATACGATAAAATTGGCTTTGACTTTCTTTTCACTTATTTTTTTTTGTCAAAAACGCTGAAAATTCCTTTTTCTTTTGTATGGGGTGTTAATGTACGCCTTGATCAATGTCTGATAATTTGAAAATTCAAAAATTTAATATAATCATCATTAATAAATTTTGCCAAAAAATAAAAGTTTGCTACTTTTGTTATATGAATTGTGAAAGACAGCCAAATTCAGGTCGTTTTCTATGCATAGTAAATTAAGACCGTCCAACCTTTGGTGTTTTGAGTAACCAAGGTATATGTCACTTGTGTTCGGTTGCAGTAGCAATTTTTTCAGAAACTAAATTTAGAAAGAAAAAATCAAAATTTTTGGTTTATGGGAAAACATCTATCATACAATTTTCATATATGGAAAAATGCTTATCATAGAGTTTTCATACAATTTTCTGTACGTATGGAATTGTATGAAATTGTATGACAAGAAGTTTCTGATATATGGAAATTATATGATAAGAAGTTTTGGTCAACCCGGGAACGCGCGATATTTCGCGCTATTAACGCGTAAGCGGAGAGTTAATCCGTCTTAGAAATCGTTCCAAATTGGTTAAAAGAAGCTGATTTGCCATAATTGGTTTGTTACAAGGAGCAAAATCTATCCTTTTGTACTTTATATGGCGTGTGGGGGGATGATTTTCATAAAAAAATTTCAAATTTTAGAAGAAAAAAAATTCATTTTTTTTATTTCATTGAAGTTTTTAATGTTATTACTGCTCCATAAACCTTAAAAGGCAGTCGGAACATTCAGGGCTTCGCCCTGTTACAAGCAGTCTTGTTCTATTTCAGATCTAAAAATTTAATGTTTTGGAAGGAATATTGACGAATTTGAAAAAAATTTCTAACAGAGGGACTAAAATTATGGCTTGAGAAAAACTATTTGTAAAATTATCCGTCAAAGCAATTCCGTTAAATAATTTAATTATAATTGAGTTTGCAGAGAAAGCAAAATACTGCAATTTCAATACTTACTTGAATTGCATAGATTAATGGCATATATTAAGTAACAGAGTAATGCTTGGATACTTGAAATGTTTGGGTAATTTAGATCAAAATTTAGATCTCAACTATTGTTTATCATCATTTATTTAGATCTTTATTCCAGAAAATACTGGGTACGGGTGGCTACAGGGGCGGATTTAAGGGAAAAGGTGCGGGGCAGACTCCTCGCCCTTCAGGGATTTGACCCCTTGCCGACCCAAAAGGTCCCCCTTTGTACTATTTTGAGAATTCCATATCTGGCGCCGGACCCCAAAAACTTTCTAAAGGCGCCTTTGGTGCCAATACATCCTAATTTCCAGGGAGGAGCGCGTGCCGAAAAAGCCCGGAAAATCCCAATTCTGCCGAAGAAGCCCGCAGAAAATTTTACCAAAACAGGGTCTTTTTAGTACTTTGGGATAGCTCGGAATATCAATTTGATTGACCTTTAAAAAAAGCGACAAAATTTTTGAAAATTGTTTGAAATTCCTCCCCTCCCTCCCCTCCCTCCCCCTCGAGAAAATCCATAATTTGTTATAATTGATTTTTCGCGACTATAATTGATTATATTGGTCGCGCAATATTATTATTGGTTGCGCATCTGCTGCAGTCTGCAGCGAAATATAGGCTTTTGGTTACGTTTTCTTAACAAAAATTTTTAAGGATTGTTTTTCAGATCTACTTGAAAAAAATCTGTTTTCTGAGATACGCAGTTTGCAAATTGATATAAACGGCAAAGGAAATCCTTCTAAACTGAGCTGAGGCCAGAAGTTTGCTCTTAAAAATACGTTAGTGGGCTTGAATATAACCTATACCTTGCCGCAAAGAAGTTCTATGGAATATAAATGGTTTTAATGGATTTTCATGGCCTGATTCCATAAAAATTAATTTTATTGATTATAATGAATTGACAAAAAACAAAAAACAAGAAATCAGTTTTTATCATCAATTACAATGGATTAAAATGAATTATAATGAATAATATTGGGTTATAATGGATTTTAATGGGTTATAAGAAAGTATAATGAACTATAATGGTGGTGTCCCTCATGCTTGAAAGACCGAATGCTTGAAATTAATTTAAGCTTGCTTTCAGCCAATCAAAGTTGAGTATTCAAAATCTCAAAAACAATCACAAAAATCTCAAAGTAAGAAAATAAATCCAGGCCATTAGTGTTATTATTGACCGATTAGATAATAGGTAGATAAGTTTTCAGGACTGATTTTTTTTTTATTATTTTGAACTCATTAATCTTGATGATTATCTGAATAGTAATGCGGTTGTAACCCGCAATTTGTAATATTTTCGATTATTTTCCACTGATTTAATACATTTGCTGTTAATATTGAATTCGATTTTGTGAGAAAGGTATTCAGCCAATAGAAACGCTTAGCGATTTTGATTGGTTGAAATTTTTCGGTCCTTCAAGCATTCGGTCCTTAAAGCATGAGAACCCTCCCCAACTACAATGAATCATAATTTTTTTACGGATGAGACTGACTTTTTTGGAAACGTTCTGTATACCTGCACCCGGAAAAATGAGAAAACAAATTGATTATATTACCATTATAAGGGTGCTTTTATCTTAAATATAAATAATTATTAGCGCCAAATTTAGATGTTTCGGTAATTTTATGAAAAATTATAGTCAATTAAAACTGATAATAGCTTTTCCGAAAATCTTTAAAGCACTTATAATATTTTATTGAAAATTATAGTCCCTTTTTCTGTCAAAACTTTATCACGCAAGGAAAATCAATTAGAAAGGATTATACTTCAGCTATTCTGTCGAAAACAAAATCTCTGAAACGGCGAGATGTCTCGTCACTCTTTGGTTCATCTGAACACAAACTTTTACCACCAATTGAAAATTTAAGGAGATCCCACTTACAGTTTGAATTGTCCCGCGGTAGGTAAGCAAAAGTTCTCCTAAACTAAATCATAAAACTAAAACAAGTTGCTGATATTTTGGTGGTTAAAAAAATAAAATGTGCATCACAAAACAACTCTAATCGAGAAAAAATGAAAAAAAAACTATAGAAGATTGAATTGATTTAAAAACTGTTAAAACAGTTTTCCCATATTTTATCTAAACCAATTTCTTCGAAAAGCATAAAACATTCGAAGTTCAGATGCAAGATTGAGATAAACTGGCAAAAAATATATAATCGATTATAATGGATTTTTTTGCGAACCATTTAATTTAGAAATTGGGATAAAATTCATCAATCATCTTCAAGTAGAATCGATTAAATTTTTGTTGAAAAATAGATGATAAAAAAATCAAATAGAATAAATTATAATATATTGAAATTGATTTTAATTTGATTTCAAAAAAAAGAGGTTAAAACGATTTTTTAACTCATTAACATTGATTTTTTTCTCAATTTTAGTAGAACTGGTAACAAAGTCATAATACAATTGTTTTTTTTTAAGATTGAAACTGAATTCGGGTCAATTGTTCAAATTTTATTCCATTATAATCTTTTATAATGGAATTAATGGATTATAATCCATTTGATTTTTTCGGAAAAAAAACTGATTTAAGTGAATTTTTATCGACTGTGTGGTCCTAAAGTGTAATTATAATCAACAATTTTAGCAACATTTTTGACCACGAAAATGAATAATAATCGGTTATAATGCATGGAACCTCGTTGCGGTTTATGAATTATATAACTTTACAAAAAAAATGAATCACAATATCAAAACTGTTTCTTTGTTCTCGAATTTTTTCAAAGTGATGATTATACAAGAAACAAAAACCTTTTCCATCAACAACAAAGTGCTGTAGTAACAATCATGGCCGACATGCAACGTTTTGTTATGACTTTTGAACAGAAAAACAGATACTCAAAGTCGGGATAGTTTTTTTCCTGTAGACAAAATTCTAGTTTCTAAAAAATGCAATCTTTATGGAGTGATTTTACAAAACTTGTTCTGAAAATCTGAACTTGATTTTGCGCTCAAAATGTTGGTTAAATAATTTATTCTTGATTTTGTTGCAAATAATAAGAGATATAAGTATTGTCCATTTAACATTTTTGTGCTCTAAGGAAAACTTAATTTCAGTCTAGACAGTACGTGTGCGGTAAAAATTAAAAAAAAAACAATGAAAAAAAAACCATTGAACCTTAAATTTGAAAACCTGTTATGAAGAGTAGTTTCTGTCTGTAGTAACCTTGTACTTTGTTTTGCCGACGTTCATAATGCAGTTTTGTGCGTTTTTTGATTTGTTTTTGCGGGATTTTTGCTCGAAAATTTACGCAACTCGATTTTTTTGAAATAGTTTTTGTGCATTTCCATGATGCAAATTTGTCCCATGTCTTTTTTGCACATCTCTTGCGCAGTTTCGTTTAAAACATATCAGCGCACATGAGTTTTGGTTGAATTGCCTTTTATATTTTGCATATAAACGCTTCCGTTTTTCATTGCTAATCTTTTTGTATAGCAGCGTACTATTTTCATTACTATTTTTTGCGTCATTTCATGGTTTTAAACTGCAAAATTTTTTGATGCAAAAATCGTTTTTTTTTTCAGATTTTTTAAAGCAGGTTTGATGGAACTGTGAATTTTTACGCACGCTTTGATAGCTGAGAGCACCTTGAGGTTTTTTGGTAACAAACTCGCAAATCTCAGCCCGAGAAGGGGAAAAATATATGTAAAGTTTCTTATTAGGAATCAGAGTTCCTCTAATGAGCAAAAGATAGATATGAGTCACTCAAATGTTTTTAGTTACAGTCCAGTATTTTCAGAACTCGCAACCCAAGAAAGTGTTTCCGCAACCGTTGTGACAAAGTAAAAAGTATCCGCAACGGTCGTGACCGAAGAAAAGTTATCGCGACCTGCGCGACTTTTATGACAGCTGCAATTTTTCTTAGAAACAACTTTTTTCATGTTGAAGTTGGAGCTCATGCATGGCTTCAAAGACTGTGATTTATGTCCAGATTGTCATCTTTCACTTTCAAACAATACTGCTACGAACTTTTTAAAGCTACACTGCGATCAATTTTCTATGCTTTTATGCTCCTTTGTTCTGCTTAATAAATTTTGTTGTTTTATTTAGCCTGTTTTGAATGCTGAAAATATTTAGAACCAAACAGAAACCTTCTCTAATACATACAGTCTAAATAAGTTTCCACAGAAACGAAATTTAAACTTATAATTATCTAAAATTAAAAAAACAAGGAGGTGCAGTTAAAATTTTGTAAGTCTCATAATTTGAATGAAAACTTAGATAGATAGTTGATGTTTTGGTAACGCACAATCCGACAACACTGATATAAGGAAACTGATTCAAAAATAGCAAAACCATGTAAAAAAAAGATTTTTTTTTTCAAAATTTTGGTTTATCGTTTTTTGAAAGATCAAATGAAAGAATAAAAAAAAACACTATATTTTGTAATAAAAGCTAAAACAGCGCTAAAAAATGAATTAGTAATTCCGTTGTATTTTTTCATCGGTTTTGTTTGTTTTAATGTAAGCAAACGTGGGCTCTCATCTTGATTCTAAAACTTATTAATCAAAATTTTCACAACGTTCAATTTAATTTTCCCTACTCTTGACCTTTGTATCTTTTAAGATTCTTAAGGCTACTTTGATATAGCTTCAATGACCACTTAACCAATATTCATCTCCATAAAAAAAAGTTTTAACGGTGTTGACAAATTGTCAATTTAATTTGTGTGACTGATACCAAAATAAATTCGAAAAAAAAGACGTTAGATAATTGCCAAAAAAGGAACAAGTATACTCCATTGCTCTTCGGTAAAAACAAACAACACGTCTGTTTTCTTTAATTGATGCATACAAGTTTTTTTTCAGTTGGAGCGCTGGTTCTTAGCTTCAGGGTAGCTACTACCTAATTCCATTCGTTTTTGATATCATCGAGAGATCCCTTACAATCTTGACCCGCTTCGTAAAATCTTTGCCTATGATTTTTTGAAAAACTCCAAAATTTGGTCAAAATAAGCAAAATAGTGTCAACGTTTGGTCAAAATAAGGGTCTTTATAGTGATTTAAAAGAACTAGAACAGTTTTTAAAAACTTGACAAAATTTCGGAAACCATTTCGAAAATGCCCCACCCCCCCCCCCCCCCAACAAGAAAACCTTAGATCATCCCCTGGCTTTAATTTTATCAGCAATGTCGTTCTCATTTTGATTCCAAAAATGAATTTTTTTTTCAACACATCTTAGAAAAATAGAAGACAAATTTAAACTTTTTAGACGTGAAAAAAAAAGGTTTTGAAAAACAAGTTTCAGAAACATCTGAAACTTGAGAACTTCAAAAAACAATTTATTTGAGTTTTCAAAAAACAATGAAAAAGTCACCGTTACTCCAAAAGCATATCTTTCGGCATAACTATTGGACAACGTCTTAAGTTTTTTAAATAATTCTGACCTTCAGACAGTGAAATAGCGTTAAAGTTGCAATCGAATTTTCGAACTGCATTTGAACTGCCAAAAGAGCAAGCAAAAATATTGCGTGTTTCGGGAAATTTCCTTTTGTCTTATGTCAAGTGCACAATTGAAAAAAAAAATTTCAACAACTATTTGCTTTGTACTTTTTCAGAGCAAACAACACATAAAATGCCGGCAAAAAAGCAAACGCGAATCAAAAAGGTATTTTGCTTAAGTTTAAATTTGAAGGTCAGAATTACTTCAGAAATTTATTACGTTGTCCGATTAGTTTGTTTACGATGGAAACAGAGTATACATTGAATTAAAACGAATTTAAAAATTCTGATAACCATCGTATTTTTTAAAAAATCACTGGCAACAATTTTATCAGTTTTTTTTGTTTTTTTGATTTTACGCTTTTTTGATATCACAAATATGTTAAGTTTCTTATCATTTAAAATCAGTTTTGCCGAATAAAAAATTTGTAAACTACTCAGAGAAAGGCTAAAGGGCAACGAGAATTTAAAAAAAAAACCCTCTCGGAAGAGGTTTCTTTGTAGTTCTTCTTTTCGTATCGTACAAAAAACTAACTTGTGGGTTTTTTTTTATTTCTGCTTTTGCAAATTGTAAAAGCTGTAATGAAAAACATTTTTTGCTCATAGCAGTGAAACTGAGTTTTAGTTACTGCTGCTTTTTTAATCGAAAAGTTTGATTAGAAAAACTTTGTTACCTGTTGCATTGCTGTGCAGTACCAGATGCCAAAAAATTGAAAAAGAGGGAGAAAGATCGAAAGTTGCGCGTTTCTTAATAGGAATAGAGTAGCATGGAATGATTCTAAATGTTTTCGAATTGTTGATTGAGAATTGGTGAGATTTATCAGAAAATCTATATTCTTGGCAAAATCGGCTTTTGTTAGGTGAGAAACACAACAAAAATGCTCGTATCAAGTCAAAGCCCTGAATTCCAAATCGGACTGCTTTTCTATGGAGTAGCGTTCGCTTCTGAAAAATTGACAAAGTTTTTGACAAAAACATGAAAAACTTTTTTAATTCGAAAATCATACCCCGCGATAAGTAAAGTACAAAGTTATATATTTCGCATTTTGTGAAGTATTGAATAGACGAGCAATAGCATGCTTCATTTCAATTTGGGTTATTTTTCAAGACTTCAAACATGCTTCAAGTTCCCTAAAGCTAAATTTAATAAAAAACGGTCAATTTGCAACGTTTTGACATACCTTGATACTGTAAGGTTGTTTAACTATAAAATATGTAAATAATATACTTGACATAACTTTGTTATTATTTTCCTAGTAGCTTGAACGACCTCAAGAGGATTAAATTGTTTACAATTTATGAAAATATTTCGAAATCAGTCTCAGAACGAAAAGGTCCAAAACTCAAATTCCAGACTGCCTTTAAAGACCCAGTAGATAAACTGCGGAGCTAATTCACATTTAATGAATTGGGTTACTGACTACATATTTCTGTTTTGTGCCCAAATAGTGACAAAAACATTTAACATTTTGGGTAAATCAAACCGCTGGGTTAAAATTGGGCTAGAACGAAGACCGGCTTCCGTTTTATTAGCAAAAACATGGTTGAGGATAAAGGAAACATATTCTGTCATAAAATGAAGCTCTAGACTCTTTTCAATCTTCAGGTTTATTTCATTTCATTCGCCCAAACTTTATAGTTCATATTTTTGCTGGGTTTAATTGAATTAAGTTTGTCCACGAGACAGATTAATCCTATACTGTATGATTATTGAAAGGTTTAGATAAGTTTCGGGGAAATATTTGACCGGTGAGAATTAAAAATATACAAAAACCAATATTTTCCAAGAAACATTGGTATAAACAAAACAACTGTCCAGTTATAGTAAGCTTTCATTGAAAAAATGTGCATCAAAGAGTAAATTTACCAATTTTTTTTTGAGGGCATTAATCAGACAATATACTTTTAAATCCGACATATGTAGTTTTAAGATGAAACTATATCTGAAAAACTACACGTAAAAAATGAGAAATAAAATGTTTTTGCTGAACATTATATTGGCGCTGATGTTGCGTTTATAAATGAGCGAATTAATTAAGGTGTCAAATTTAGCTAAAAGAGCAGGTACTAAAATGATGTTTCAATATACGGAAAAAAATATTGGGAACCACGGCCCGTGATGTTAGTTCTGCGTTATCGTGCCAATGAAAGATAGCAAACACGGAATTGATAATTTCAACTAGGGATCAAAGTTCTTAGACTTTCTTGGGAAGAGATCCTGCAGATGATTAAAGTGAGATCCTGAGTTTTGAAATTCCATATTTGTCTGTATTTTATTGAATGAAGTTTCAGTACATATTCTCGTGTCTGACGTCATCTTTAAGTGACTCCATAGCCTTGTCCATGTGTCTCGTCATCTCCTGCAGATCCTCTATATGTGCATGGAGTCTTCCGTTGTTGTCCGTGTACTGTTCCATGATTCGGTACAGTCTAGAAGTGGTCATCTCAACTACTAAGTCCCCCACCCGGTGTGCGTACTCTTTGTCATCTTTGATGTCCCGGATGTTGTTGCAAAGACGTTCTCGCATCACGTCGTACTCGTCAAGACGTTCCTAGAATTCAATCAGCTCCTAAATTTTTTGATCAATTTTTAACTGCGCAATCTTGAAATCGAAAATACGATACTAAAAACATGAAAAGTACAAACAAACGCGTGAACGAACCGATGATACATTGTCAAAGAAGAAACCCCACCACTTTTGAGCAGTAGCTGAGCGAGAAGGCGAGGAGCGAGGTAGAATCTCTCTTCTCACAGGAATGCGACACTTTTACCACCCAAAAGGCCTTATCACTTTATTTTTACTTATTTGCTTTTCGCTTTTTGGACCAACCGGCCCTCATTTTTTTAAGGGGGCCTTTTTGGCAAAACAGATCTCTTTGTTGTTAAAGAAATCAATTTGGCCGGCTTAAAAAACAAAAAGTATTAACTTTTAGTTTTTGCTTAAATTCGTCCCTGGGCGAATAGGATTTCGAATTTTTCGCCTCTGGAAATATCCCACGGAACTTCGACAAAAAATTACATTTTTTGAGTTTTCTTGCTATGAAATTAACCGAGAAAACAATATGTTGGCTTCTTTTTGTGTTCCGGCTTACAATTTCATTGAACAGAAACACAAGTCTAACCTTGAGAGCTCTGACTAGTTTGAACATTGGTTCCACCATATGGGTGAAATCCGAGTTGATAGTCGTGTACGAGTCTATCTGTCGGCCCATTTTCCGAATCACTTTATCCTGCCGTTCGACCTCCTTCAACAGTGCATCATTGTGTGCTTTATACGACTCCTTTTCCTCCGAAAGAACTGCATTTCTCTTTGAAGTTTCGCACAATTTCACTTCTAGTTCTTTGATTCCAGCGTCCAGACTTTCTAGTTCTCGTTTCGTCGCTTCTTCCGTCTCACGTGACCTCTTACTTTGTTGATCTGCAACCTCATTGGCAATTTTCAAGTCGCACTGTAATTGGTCAATTAACTGTTTCTGTTCGGCATTTTCCTTGGCTAGCTTCAACCGGTCTACTTTAAGGTCTTCACGCGTGTCTTTTAAGTCTTCGTTTCGTCGTCGTAGTTCAGAAAATAGAGATCGTTCGGCGTCTGTTTTCTGGGCTGCATTGGTTAGGGTCTGCATGTTTAGGTGGAAGTTGGCGTCTTGGATTTTGTCGATGCCATGTTTCAAATCGGTATAAATGTCGCCAGGAGCTACAAACAAAATTGCACATAAAAACATGTCCTTTAATTTGAGAGTATATTATTAAATCATAACAATAATAATGCATTCTGATCGGATAACACGTATTTTCACTATAAAACAATGACTCTTCTGCCATATAATCAACCTCAATAGCTTACGGAATTGTTAAAAAAGAATTGAAATTCTATCTACTGAAAATTGTAAAATCTCTTTCCCAGTTGCTACTGTAAGAAAAATACATCACTTTTAATTATCTATTTACCCATTGCAGGTGGACCAAACCCACCCGTCATCATGGGAGGTCCAGAAGGGGGTCCCGTCATCATCGGAGGACCCGAGGGGAGTCCCACTGGAACGGGTGGTCCACGGGGTCCACCCATACCAAAATCCGGCGGGAAATGAGCATCCATCACACCTCCTTGCAATGGACCACACTGGAGCATCCGCCTGACGTGGTGAACGCCAACTTCAGTTGCTATTTTTTTGAGACTTGAGCTGCTAATTTGAGCGTGTCTATCCTCCATCATCTGGAGTAACATCAAAAAGTCATCTCGAGCAGCCGAACTCAGTTCGAGTTCCGACATTAGCGATCGCCACTTATGACCCGAGTCCACTATGTCCAAAATCATCGGTTGGTCACCCCACGTTTTCAATATTTTCTCTCGAATATCACCCGAAACAGTTCGTACCATTGTTCCCCATGCTCGTGCTTTCCGAGACCCTTTCGAGTCGTAAGGTGCGATGCTTGTCGAGCTGCTTTCGGATGGAGAGGGTCTGCGGTTCCGACGCGCGGATGAGTGTCGTTTGTCTTTAGCCGAACGAAATGATCGATCTCGACTGTCTAACGAAGTATCGCCGTGTCTCATGAGTTTCCCGTAACGAGACAAAACATCGCCGAGCACGTTCTCTTTACGAGACATGGCTCTGAACAACCAATTTGCTTATAATTCACACAAAATAACTTCTATTATAAATATCTTATGGCTTTATAACAAAGAGAATGCTTACAAGGTATTCAGATGTATAAGCGCACGTTTACATCAGTTTAGAAGAGTTTTACAGCTGATAAAATTTATAGTTCCAACTTTATAGATGGCATGTTGAGTGCCATTGTTGCGTTTTTCAATTTGAACAGCTATATCAATGATTAGCGATGTCTTCAGAACACAAGAACACGTAGCTCTCGTAGCAGTTTTCAAAATGAAATCGAGACGGCTGTTTTCAAATTAATTCAATTGTTGAAAAAAGAATACCCGGTTAATACCCATAGAATAACAAATTATGTTTTTTCTAAGTTTAAAAGGGAAATTAAAATGAAAACTGTTTTGAAATTCAAAGGTTTTAGCTTCGTTTTTCTAAGGTAAAAGACGTCTTGAGTTCATTATTTACGAAAATTTTGTAACGCTATGGAATTTGCACATTGCCAATTTGGGCAATTTAAGTTAACTAAAAATGATCAATTTTGTCCAACTATAGAGTAATTTAATACGGCAAAATTGTTCCAGATTGAGTTTCAACATGCGTTTTGATCCTTCTGATACATTAGATGCGAAGCTTTTAAGTTTGTACTGTGTATTGGGTGTTAGGGGAAACGACGTTTCAAAACTTTAAAACGTATAACTTTTTACCTGTTTTTTCAAAGTTAGAGGCCAGTTACGCGTTCAGTCGGGAAACGAGCAGTCTTGGTTGACAGTGGAAGTCAAAAAAATTTCCGTCATCTGAAACAAATTTTGCTCACGTGAATGTAATTCACAAAGTGTTATTGGAACTACATTTTTCCTTGTACTCATTTAAACTTGCAATTTTGATTGTATGAAAGATATCTTAGTGATGATCGACATTACTTCCTTAGAACGCATAGCATCACAAAAAATCTCAATAATGACTAAAAGGTTTTTTGCTTCAAATTTTGCGGAAAATGATGGAATTTTTGCACTCCGTTTTTTTTTCTCTTATGATGAAGTGATTGAGGTGGGGAAGCAAAAAGTGGGATAATGGCGAGGTTGTTCTGAAGGTTGGCTGGGTGGGAAATTGATCGATGGAGGGATCCAACTTAGCGGCTCATCGTCGGCTAAAAAGAGGGTAAAAAGAGGGTAAAAACTGTATGTAAGTTTGGAAATTTCATTTAAAAAAAGTTGAAATCTGTAAACTCTATGGTTTGGGTTTGATTTTTGTGTAAAGAGAAAAATTATTGGTTCATGGTCTGTAAATAAAACCATGTTTAGATCCGAGTATTAAAAATTCATACTCTGTAAGTGTATATATTATAGCTGTGCATTCTCTCGTAAGGTAGAGAGTCCAAGTTCAGTTTGTGTGAATAGTCTAGAGTTTGCTGAAATGAGGTTCATTTTATTTGTTCCATTGTGAGATTGCAATAATGCTGCGCCGATGCCGAAATTGGAGGCGTCGCACATAGCATAAAATGGTTGATCGGGATCTGGAATAGTGTTTGATAATTGTTCGGTGAGAAGAGTTTTCATCTCTTTGAATTGCTTTTGATGTTCTGTTGTCCATTCAAAATTATTTTGCTGTCTAAGGATGTTGTAAATGGTCTTAAGTATAGCTGCATTTTGTATACGTTTTTACTTAAGAAGTTCAACATTCCAAGAAATTCTTATACCTTTTACTTATTTGAAGGTGTTTGGAGTTTTAAGGTTGCATCTATGCGAGATTTTATCGGAGTTATAATGTTTCTTTCTATAATATGTCCAAGGAATTTAACTCGTGCTAGGAAAAAGTGTGATTTATCTGGGGCTGCTTTCATATTTTCTTGTAGTAAAATTTATTGGTATTTTCTAAGACAGCAAGCATTTCGTCTTTTGTTTGTGATTGCAAAAAAACATCGTCTAAATAAGTGATTGCATTTTTATTGAGCATTAGTGGTATGAAAATTTTACTGACAAACGCTGAAAATGCTGCTGATCCTATGGAATTTCCATAGAACAATCTGTTGTTCGTATTGTTGATTTCCAATAACGAATTGTGTTAATCGTCGTGATTTTTCATCTAGCGGCATTTGGTTATACGCACTATTCATATCTGCTGCTGTAAAGTATTTACCGTTTTTGTTTTTGTGAGAATTACTTGAATTGGTTCAATAGGCCAATTACATTTAGATTAATCAATTAGTGAATTGAGATATCTTGCATCTAGAACGATTTTTAGTGATGCACCTTTTGCTAAGCTGATAACGGGGTTTATGATTGTGTTACTTTTTGGCTGTTCTTCTTTATTTACCGGAAAGATGATTTCATATTGTTCTAGTTTTTCACGTAGACGGTTAACTTTATCTCGCAAGTGAATTGGGATTTTACTTGCTCGCTGTTTTTCGAAAACTGCGTCAGGTTTTATGGGTAATTGTAATGGCGAATTTGTCAAACTTTGATATTGCGTAAAGTTTTGGGTATTTTAAGAATAGGTCAGCTAATTGTTCGAAATTTTTCTGTGTTATCTGAGAGTGTTTAAAATTAAATTTTGTCAGAAATTTTTGCTGTTCTTTCGTGAATTTTAAATTTAAAACGTTGGTTTGAAATAGGGTGTCTTTGTGAAATAAACCGTATTTCGTTTTTCATAATTTAAAAAAATATTACTGACAATTATTCATCAAGAATTGTTGATTGACTTATATCTAATAGTTTTAATATATTATTTACTCTATACTCTATTTCGTTTGTGAGAGAAATTGTTGCGTTGGTTTCACAATAACCTAAGGGTTCTTGAGGTAAGGTTATTTCATATGGAGAATTTTTATATATATGTAGAGAAGACATATCAGAGTTTGAGTCTTTCAGGTATTTAATAGATGAAGTTGTTACTCGGAAAAATTTGTGAAATGGATTGATTTCAAAGTCAGACATAAAGAGCTGTTGTTGTTTTGCTCTTTATTATACTGGGGAGTTTGTTTGATCGAGAAGTTATACATATTTCCTGATAGTGGTTTCAGGTGTTTTTGTTCCTGATTGTATATGGGGTAAAATTTAGAGAAAAATGGTGGTTGTTTGTTTATTCTTTGGAAAAATGTCAAAGAGTTGTTTTTCATTCTTGTGTATTTGTCTTTTATATGAAGTCTACTATTTAAGATATTTATTGTTGGTATTTATTTGGTAATAAATGGAATTCCGATGATATTATGTTTTATATCAGTGATATGGAAGTTTTGTTTAAATGGTTCGCTCATAATTTTGTTGTGTTCCATTGTTCGAATGCGAACAAGGAACAGTTGGATTTTTTCCATAGTGTGTTACGGTTGATCCTTGTGCAGTTGCTAGTCTACTTGTTGTTTTGAAGTGTAGAAATTTGATCTCATTCCAAGTGGGAATGTTTATAATATTTGATTCTGCTTCAGAATCTATTAGAAAATCTATTTCAAGTTCTGGTGTTTGCAATTGTTTGGATTTTGGACTTTCTAAAATCAGTGGGACTGTCCATATTTTTTGGTTTTGTAATAGTGTTTCTTTAGGTATGTTTTGATAAATATTTTTTGTGTTTGAGCTTTCTGTTGGATTTTCTTCTGTTACTTCTTCTACTATTTTTTGTATTTTTTCCTTTGTTTTGTTATTGGGTATAGGTCTTGTATAATAATTTAAAAGAAACTGATCATGATTCTGATATATGTGAGAATATATCGGTTGTTCATATATAATAGGCTCATAGTCATTTTCAACGTTCATCATGTTAACTGAAATTCTATATTTACGTTATTGTCAATACCGGTGGGATCTGGTTGAGTTTCTTCAATTGATTGTACTTGATTTATTTGTCTTTGATGTTTAGGTATATTACTCCTATAATTTTGTTGTGAATTTTGATAACGTGTGTTATTCCTATGTGGTGATTGAGAGTAGTTCCTTTGTCTGTTGTCATAGTTTGAGCTTCTGTTCTGTGAGTTATCGCGTGATCTTTTTTGATAATTTTTATGTTTTAATCTGTTGTTAGAAAAATCGCGCGATTGATTTTTTTGATATCTGGGGTTTTGATTGTTTGAATAGTTTCTATTCCGATCCTTAGAATAATTTCTATATCGGTTGTGTGAAGAGTTTCTAGATCGATGAATTGAATAATTTCAATTTGTAGAATTTGAATGGGATCTGGCATTAAACGAAAAACGGGTTGGTTTGAACTTGATTTTGAATAGTTATTTTGATATTGACTATTTCGACTATGGGATCGACTATATCTGTTTTGTGAGAAATTTTTTGAATTTCTTTGCTATGGTGATTGTGCTCTATAATTTGTATTATAAGGTGATTGCTGTCTAGAGTAATTGGAGTTATTTGGAGTGGTTTTTCTGAACTATTATCAGTATGAATGTTTTTGTTGGGTAAATTTTGATGTTTCTTCATGTATTGATGAAAAGATTTGTTAGGTTCTCTATGTTTTTGTGGTTTATTTTGATTATCTTGTTGTTATTGTCTGCATTCAGCGATACTGTGTCCGTATCGTCGACAAAAATTACACCATTTTTTGAGTGATAGTTTGTCTTTAAAATTCGGGTTTTTATCGTAGATGTTTAAAATTTCTGTGATTTTTTTTGATAAATCTGTATCAGAGTCGTTGATATGATTTATCTGTAAAGTAGTGGTTTGGATGTTGTTTACATATTGTAATTTTATGTTTTCTGTTTCTTCTTGTTTCATAGTGATTTCTGCTTGTTCTTGTTTATCTACTAGTTCCCTAAAAACTAAATCTGGTTCTCGGATTGAGGAAGCATGTGATGCTCTCTTTTTTATTGCTATTTTTCGCAATTGAGGTGTTAGAATCATCATTAGGATTTCTGTCATCTTTGTTTTTTTATAATCATGAGTTTCAAGTGAGTATGCTTTTCAGACTACTGTTTGTGTTCTTACTGCAAGTTGTTTTATTGTTTCATTTGGTAGTCTACGAATTTCATTGCATAAAGCTCTTTGATGTTGTTTGTTTCTTTCTGAATTAAAAATTTTTGAGAATTCTTGTGTGAATCTTTTCCAATCTGATTTTATTTCTTTAGGTAAAACTGAAAACCGTTTTTGGGCTGCGCCGTCAAGGTTAGTTTGGATTAGAACTGTACGTCTATGTATCCA